TAGAACCATATTCACCAAAATCCTCACCGCGAGGAGCGAGGTCACCAGTAGTTTCACGTCAGGATTCTTCTGGGACTCTCAAAACCACTATCTCACTCGGCAAGAACCCTGCAATATTACACAGTGGTCCTTTCTATTTGATGAAAGAACCTCCAGGTACGTACATTAATATATTTCCACAACAACAACCAATAAAGTTAAATACAATACGATTAAAAATTAACATTTATTTTTATTTACAGGAGAATGTGAACTAACAGGCGCAACAAATTTAATGGCATATTATGGCCTAGAACACTCATATAGTAAATTTAATGGGAAAAAGCTAAAGGAATCACTGTCTTCATTTTTGCCTAATTTGCCAGGCATAGTGGATGGTCCTGGGCAAGAAGACAACAGTACGCTAGGGTCAGTAATAGCCAAAAGACCGATCGGTGGTAAAGAGCTACTGCCACTGAGCAGTGCACAGCTAGCAGGCTTCCGGCTGCACCCAGGTCCCCTGCCGGAACAGTACCGTTATGTTAGTGCAACTCCTCCCAAAAGGCATAAGAGTAAGCACAAGAAACACAAACACAAAGATGGTGCTCCCCCAGGACAGGATACACCTCTACAAGGTAGAACCGACTAATTAGAATCAGTTCTTATAATTTACAGTAAAATATGTGTGTGAATGAGAAATATGTATGATTCAATTATTTTTTTACATTGCATGCATTATGCATATAATTTTTAGTCAAAATTCCTCAAAGTTTTAGCTAAATTTTTAAATGTACTCAACAATTTTTTGATGCAATAATTATACTTAAAAACTTATTCTGCCCTTTAACAATCATTTATATTAAATTACCACCAGCGACTCTGTCCGCGGAAAAAAAAATATAAGTAGCCTATGTGTTCTTCCATACTATGCCAAATTTCAGCAAGTTCCAGGCAGCCACTCTGGATACCCTCTAACAGACATCCAGCCGTCCATCTAAACATTTGCATGTATAATATTAGTAAGATGTGTGTACAATTTCAGATTCTTCAAATCCAGACACATATGAAAAGAAACACAAAAAACAGAAACGTCACGACGATGACAAGGAGCGTAAGAAACGGAAAAAGGAGAAAAAGAGGAAAAAACAGAAGCACAGTCCGGAGCACGGGGGGCTCACGCCCAGCCAGCATCCCGTGGCTTAGGCAGCTGTAGTGAGTAAGTTTTCTTATATAATGAGATGCATCAAAGAGGGAGACTTGTAACCATGTTAACATAAATCATATTTTTCACAATTTAAAAAATGTAATAAACTATAATTTCAATGTATTAAAAGCTTACATGGCTCAAATTAAGAATGTAGTTTCTGTAAAATTTGACAATTATTTTAACCTTAAAAATTATGTATAATAAAATAGTCAAGTTATCCACAAAAATATCAATTTTTCATGATGCTAATTGTTTTATAAAGAATTTTTAGACAGTGTTACAAATAAAATAAGTCTCCTAATGAATGCATCTTAACTATTGGGCCCAAAGAAATTGATGATTTTTTTAATTTATTTTTTGGTCTTTATTGGAACACCATACTTGAAAACTCATAAAAGTGGGTGAGAAAACTCCAAAAAAATTTTATGCATCTCAATGTATTTATACTAAGAAAAAATTTCTTATTTTTTTTTTATTTTGTTAGTCAAAGATCATCAAAGTAATTGTTAAAATAACATTTCATGTAGTTTGTAATACAAATACCATTGTTAGATGTATTACAAAACTTTGGGCTCTTAAGAAATTTTTTGACAAGTTGTATGAACTATTTCAAAAACTTTCTTCAGGCTTCAGGGCTTCAGGTTATCTCAAATATTGTAGTTCTAAGTGTTAGATAATATTATATCCTAGATTATGTAAGTACCAGAATTTGTGTTTTACTCAATATCAATGTGCTAAAAATAAGTCGGACAGAAATCTTTAAATATTTTGGAAACCAAAATCTATTATCAAAAAGTGTACAACTTCAAATGTTCTTCATCTGAATCACTCTGTATAAAGAAATAATCTGTTTTTTTTCTACCTTAATATTAAACTACTCAACAGATTGTAATTGTAAAATATTTTTTAGGAAATAAAAATGGCGTATAAATTTTTCACTGCTTTTTGGCATATCTTTTGTTTTCTAATGATTTCCATCTATGCTTCATGACTTTGTAAATAAATTGGACACTTGTTACATATGCTCAACATTTTAATTGTGATTGACAGAGTGTAGTCGCCATTAAATACATTTTTTTTACAACATTTTAATTTCATACAAACTCATATGTTGTGTTTTTGTAAAACTCAATACAAACGTAAATTACGAATGAAATAAATAAATAGAACGAATAAAACGTGTCTCATTTCCCACATGCGTCTGTTTATTTTTGTTGTTTTTTTTTGTCGAGTTATTGCAAAACAAAATAAAAATGAAGACTAAAAATAACTTAAGTCGATAAACAAAATACGCCTCAGTCGCGGTGTAGCAAAAAACGAGTTCTCAAAATATGCGGTTTTGAGAACTCGCACAATAGTAGTAGTTGCAGAATCCAAGGATACACCAATATGGTTTAACATTATCTTACTAATATTATAAATGCGAATATTTAAATGGGTGTTTGCTCGAAGATAACTCCGGTGTTGCGCAACACGGATCTCGCTGACATTTGGGATAGATGTAGAACATAGTGTGGAAGAATACATAGGCTACTTATTATGTTTGTTTGTAATTCCGCACGGACGGAGTCGCGGGCGACAGCTAGTGCCACCATAATCCTCTTCAGTACTGCGGTAGGTTACTCATACCTACCGTCACTTCAATAAAAGGAGTATAAATAAAACAAAAAAATTGCGAGCGAAATTTATTCAAAGTATCCAAATTTATACATTATTAAGTCGGTTTCGCTTCTTAAAAGAGACGGTCATACTTAGTAATAAAACAATATAAATTAGTAATGCAGCACCAAAATACATACAACATACTTACAAAATTGCATCCCATACGCACACATAGACCGAATTCTAGACCTTCTGTGTACTTTATACACGGCGAAGCACATGTTTGACATACAGCGCTTTAAAAAATTGTGATACGTAACAGTTTCCACTGACGAAACACTTGTATAAAACTTGCTGTGATAAAGAATATGTATTGTACTGGCAGTGGAATTTCCCCCTTTACAGGTTCTAGTGACATTTACATTGTTTACAAAATAACAAAACCGTCAATAACAAGACCTTATTTAATTGTGATATTAAATGTGATGTTTTTTTATAAATTGTTAACTCATTTGTCTCAGACAGCTATGGTATGCTTTGAATAGAGAGGTGCTCGTGAAATTCTCACGTGTTTTATGTCTCAATCGTATAAAACAACATCTAGCAAGCACTAAATACCCTTCGTCCCTACCTACTACATTGATCTAATAGGGATGACTGATGATCGTAGGATATCGATGTTGTCTACATCGATAAAACATCGATTTAACAAAAGTAAAAAAAACTGGCCATAATAATAACCGAGGATAAGGAAAAAAATGCATAAAATTACGCCTATTTTTAAATGTTGCTACTGTCCAATCCTTGTTGGCTCAAGGTTAGCGGCGTAGTGCGTGTCTCCCCGCGTCCCTTTACCTTCGCCGCACCTAAAGTTATGCGCAGCGTCGAACAATATTCCAAGCATGTTTGTTATATGATTTCTTCATAAATAAAAGTAATACGATGTTTCGACATCGTTTAAAATTTGTTTTATCGATAGTCCAACATCGATCGTCCTTAAACTATTTACTGTATGCTAATTTATTTGGTGCGCGATGGCACACGTTAACTGAGCATCACTAATATTAGGAATTATAAAATTTTATAAACTACAGTAAACACGCTGACTATAAATATGAACAACCGGATTGTTATGCAATTTACTCAAGCTTATAAAATTTTATTTCCCTTTCAATAAACTTCAAACTAACTAATGCATAAACAAATTGCTATGAAAATAAAATACATTACTTGATGATAAAATTATTCAAACATAAAGTTATTTGAAATGAAATTATAGAATATATTTTCATATTATTTTGTTTACGTATTGAGTAGTTTGAGATCATAACTATATTTTAACACGGGCCATTTTGCTTGCCCTTTGGTGGTGACGTATATAAAAGACAAACTAAATTTATTCATACTATAAATTTCAAATACTGAAACGCCAAATCTATTACTCGCACTAACATTTATATAAAAATAAAATTTGTTAACGACAGGCTGTGTGGTAACTTTTTAGTGAAGAAAAAATCCACGCACGACTCTTCAACGGAGAAATGCCATAAAAAAATAAAAATGAACTTGGCCACTTCTAAAATTAAAAATTATGTTTTTTTTTCATAATTGTGCATGGAGTCTTTATTTTAGAGAACGTTAAATGGACGTTTATAGCCTAGCAACGATCACATAGTTAATTTTGAGCAATAGAATTATATTAAAGGTTAGTTTGCTCGAATTTAACAGTGACAATAAAATAAAATATGTATCCATAGATATACAAATCATTAAGAAAATGGTTTTACTGAGTGATGTTAATATACCATGTTTACATATCATTTAAAAAAAAAACAATTAGTGAGAATGGCAAGTTAAAAATAATCGGTTTAAAAAAGATGTTTAAATTTCATTAGTCAAAGGCGAAACAGGCAAGCGAGCGCAGCGCAAAATAAAATATACATAATACGAACATATTTATATCCGTACGAAATAAATAATCGGTTATTATTAATAAAACATAATTAAATTATACACATTATTATATTACACAATTATTAATAAAGGTAATTTACAATAAAATAATTAAGTTTAAGACCAACTTTGCTCTAACTGTCGTCGCAACATATTTTCAACACTGGGTTGTCATTTTTTAATAAATGCATTTGAAATTTTGCTAATAAACATGTAAATGCACAATTTATAAATAACATATCTGGAAATAATAATTAATGTTTAAGTAGGAAAGTAAAAGGCAAAATTATAATAGATTTATTTTAAAAATCATGCTATTATTATTATATTACCCGCATTTTGACAACTGTCACAATGACAGCTGTCACCGAACTTTAGGCACCTGTCATGCTGTCATTATTTACCTAATATACAAGATAAAAACAATATTATCTGCGTTTTTACCTTCCTATAAAACATGAATTATTTGTACTCATCAATTAACAATATAACGTTTTTAACACTTAATGCAACGATTACTGCGAAAATATATTGACACGACAGATACAAAAGTCACAGACTATAATTATTTAATTACACTAATTCACATTAGCAAATCTTTGTTAGTTTTAAATGACATTAGATGTTTCTGCCACAAACAATATTAACATAATTATTTGTTAATTCCAAATATAAAAAGAAAACTCATCAATCATTTACATGAAATTCTCATATTTACATACAATAGCTTTATGTATACAATCATATTAAATAAATCGAAAATCTGCCTCCACAGATAATATATCCTTGTTTAAATCCATTCAGTCAGCTATTTAAATGGCAACATTGAAGTGACTAAGGTCACAGCTCCTTGAGTAGCGCTGATTTGGCGTTCTTGAGTTTGTCAAGTCTCTTCGTGAGGTGGCTGTTCTCCGTCTCCAACTCCTCAACTCGATTCAAAGCTTCTCTAGCCTGGAATTATATTTATTATATTTAATTTACATACTTAACTTATTATTTTGAATATTTTTTTTATATGTCCTTTTCTCTCAGACAGATGTTTATTATATAACAAATTCAAAAATATAGTACAGTTTAAAATCAGTAAATCATAACATGCAGGATGTAAGACATATTTTTTTCAAATTTTTGTAGGATTTTATTTACACGAGGATTACATAAATTTGGATTGATATAATTTGGTACTTGCGAGGTAAAGAATCGAAGGATTTTCATCACAAGATTATAATTTTACAACTTTACAATAACGTATCGTCTGATCAGTCACGGTTGGCGGTTTTTAATATTATTTATATACAACGACGCACATTAATAAACGAGACATATAATACAGGGGGACGATTTATTTTGGGATATGTCTGATACTGGGTCACAAAACAGGTAAAACTTGTGATTGCGTTGCCACCATACCGTTAGCAGTCTCCGTTATTGATAACGGCCCAGAAGTCAACAACTTCCTGAAAACAATATTGGTATTTTTTCTTGTTTCTATAAAATATTCTTTATGCTTGAATGATAGTAGCAATGGAATCATTGTAATCTCTACTTGATTCGTAACTAAAAGGCATTTATTTTTCACGTACTTTTCTTGATTTTGGTCTAGATTTCCTATAGTTGGTACTCACGAAAGGTGGTTTACATTGATCAAAACCGAGTTCTTGAAATTTCGACGTAATCATAGAGCTGTGTATTTCTGTGTACAGACCTCCCTCTGCAGCCTGCGTCGCTCCTGCTTGAGCTGCTCCTCGTGCTCGTCCTGGTGGTCCTGACGCGCGCGCAGACGGGCCACCTGGGCCTCCAGCCGCGCCACCGCCGCCGCCTGCAGCGCCGCCTCCGCCTCCGCCCGCGCCGCGCGACCCTTCGCCTCCGACACTGACTTGCGCAGCGATTCCACTGCAATACCGTCCGACAAATGACCGTTTGAAAATGACACCTGTTTTGTTCCGACTTAAACATGCCTATGGAAGTTCCTGACAGTTACTTTTATGTCTATTATTAGTTCCTATCCTCACCACTGTTACAGCCAGCGCCAACATGGCGAAAATCAAATGGGCACAAAGTACCACGGTTTATAGCCTGTCCATGTATAGAGGTAGTGCGTGTGTGTGTACTCACGCTCGCTGTCGTGCTCCCTGTCGTGGTGCGCGGCGACGCCATTCTGTCGTGCGGCGCGCTCCTCGTTCAGGCAGAGCTTCAGCTTGCGCACCTCAGACTCCAGCGCCTGCTTTGAGCTCACCAGCCTCTGCAACCGCACGTCTGCGAACACAATAATATACAATTATTTATTGCATTCGAGCCAAAAATATCCAGTAATCTTTAATTTTTCGCTTAGTAAAAAAACCTTGATTGAATCTTCTTCCTCTTGTTTTGTTTGTTAATAAAAGTAAAAAACTCTTTCACAAATGTTCGAGCACGTACTAAGTTACCTCACACAAATAAGCGTCAAATACTCACCCAGGGTGCCTTCTCCGGCATCATTGAGCAGCTGTTCCGAGTGGTGTGAGACGAGGGCGAGAGGGGGAACGCTGCCGAAGCCCTGCGCTACCAGCTCGGGCTCTGCCCCGTTCAGTTCCGTTTGCTCCGCAGTGCCATTAAGCTCTGCCTCGACGAAGGCGAAGCCCGCGGCTGCTGCGGCGGAGTCCCGCGCACGAACTGCGTCTCGTGCTGCAGTCACCTCGCGCTCCAGTGTGGCGTGCTCGCGTTTTAGTCGCTCATGCGCTGAGCACTTCTCTTTATGTTCACGCTGGAAGTAAATATTTTAACATTTAAATTAATTATTTTAAGAAACTTTCTCTTATTTGATACTAGAATTATCGTTATTATGATTAAAAGCCAAATTCCAAGTTCCGTGCAATCTTGACTTAATAGTTTGTTGTTTTGAGTCTGACCTGCAACTGCGCGTGTTCCTCGGTAAGCTCCTCGATGCGGTCCTTTAGCAGCTCGAGCTGATAGCCGAGCGCCGCCTTGTCATTGTCCAGCTGAGCGTTCAGGATCATCGCCTTTCGGAACTTCTCCTCCACCTCCTTCAGCTCGTGCTGCAATAAACAAACATTAAATTCAATTCGATAATTGCAAATGTAATTAATTTTGCTTTGATATCAAAAATAACAACTTTTACTTCGATATCTTAGTATTCTAGACTAGTAAGCGTTCAAAACCATTCGGCTATAATAACAGTTTGTTTTTATCAATGTGTGTTTAATGTTACCCTGAGGTCTTTGATGCTGAAGACATCGTCCGCGGAGTCTTCGGAGCTGCGCCGCGGCGAGTGCACGGCGGGGCTGAGCGCCGCCAGTCGCCCGCCGCGACGCCCCACTGTCTCTGTAACGTTACAACAATTATACATTAATACTATACATAACAGTCGTCCTTATTTAAATGCAACATTAACTTAACTGCACAAACAACCTTATTTTAAGGGCTGCTTCACCTTTTTCAGATGATTATGCTGTCATGGCTAAGGTCAGCATGGAACACTCTTTTGACAATCGTTAATTCTTTGCTATTCTATGTTAAATGCTAAATTGTCGTGAGTGTGGGTTTTTTTTAATTTTGTAGACTGAATATTGTATACGTATCTGAATATCGGTGCCCACGATACAGGCATTGCCTAGTGTGGGCATCACTAGATTATCCAAATTAACCATAAATGGTAACTTAAGATTAATTTAAGTTCTCAGTTATGTGCAATTTTTATGTTAGTTATTGTTTCTTGGTTTAATCTTTATTACCTATAATAAAAACTTTCTTCTTTCTTTCTATTCATTTCTGTGTATGAGTATACCTGAGTACATATCGAATGCCTTGTCGGCATGGTCCTCCTGCTCTCTCTGCTGCCGCTCCAGCTCACGCATGCGGATCTCGCGCGCCTCCGCCCGCGCAGCGCGCCGCGCCGCCAGACGTTGCTCCGCCTATAACAAATGACACAAACCAATCATTACCATGACTATTTGAAAGAATCTTAAGTAGTTAGCTTTATAATTGACTTATAGAACTATCACAAATAATTACATATCCGTTTGAAACCGCAACATGTATCCACAAATATTATTTGATGTTATAAGTTAAAAATAATAAAACTTTACTTAGCAAAAATTGTTTTTAATAAACGTATTATTTTAGTCAAGTACATCAAGTACAATTTACTTTCATATCCCAATGTCACAAGGGAAAGCTTTGCGACTTACTTAATAAACCTTTTTGTCGTAATATCGTCTTAAAGATCGTAGCATATTTCATTCATTTATTTGGTCACTTTAAAAAATCCTGTATCATAACAATCAGTATTTAATGGTCATACTGATGTACAGATAGCACTTGATAAGCGAGCGTCGTGTTGTAAATATGTTTTGTTTTAATGACTCGTCACGTCTAACATACACGATATTATCTTAACGTCCCATTTATATATTTGATAAACCAATGATAAAACAAACATCCGAAACTACATTTCTTTATACTTTCCTTCGATTGCATTCATAAATATTCATTGACAAACTCTAATAGATATATGCTAACACATTTAGTGTCAGTGGCTAGGCAAGATTACTTTCGTATGAAAAAATCGCAACTGCATAAAACGTCCTAAAACTAATTAATTTAAGCGTAAATGTGTAAAGTAACACTTGAATTATACAGACGCCTTACTCACTCTTTTATGTTGTGTACCCATTACTAACTGTGGCCCGTATCTTTGTGCTCACGAAATTAAAAACATAATTATCAGCTTATGTGTTCTTCCAGACTTTGTTCTACATCTATGACAAATTTCATAGAGATCCGTTCGGCCGTTCTGAACATCTATCCATCCATCAAAACATTCACTTCTATCATGTTAGTAAAATATATAAGCGTGCACTGGATGCGGGCGGCACAGGACCGGTCATTGTGGCAATTGATGGGGGAGGCCTTCATCCAGCAGTGGATAAATCTAGGCTGATTATGATAATACATTATATGCAACATATGAGCTGTGTGATGACGTTTCAATAACGAAAACATTTCACTATGACTGGACTTTACATTAATGATAAATTTGATGTTGCGTCATCAATAACCAATGGTCATCAACCGGGTATCCCCGAGAAAGTAACAAGATTGTGTTACTCATCAACACAAAATAATTAAATGATTACTAAGCGAGTAGGAATTCGATTGACGATCAAAGTACCAACACATTCTTATTCTTATAATCAAAAAAAGCGACTATTAATATTTTAATATTGCAGTACTGATCACTTACGATAAATATTTATTTTATTAGATAGCCGAAATCGCTCTGACGACGAAGTTACTAAATAGTTAAAATATTTTATGTACCAGCGTAGATAAATTTAAAAGACATGAAAACGGATCATAAATTTCACCTTTCTGATGGTGGGCGGGTTCGATCGATCGAACATGTAGAGATTTCTCGACAATGCCTATGTACAGAATTAAACATCTCTAATATCAAAGTGGATTCGGAACAGTTATTTAGACCAACAAAAGAATAAGAAGTCACCTTTGCAATATTGAAGTTATTAACATAATTGACATTTGCACAAAGCCATTTCAACTTTAGATCATAGTACTTAGAAGAAGTAAGGATAAATTACCGGGATTGTGATCCTTATATTATTATCTGATTATAATATCAAAAGAGAATTCAATAGACTGGAGCTTAAGTAGAACATCCTTTGATAACAGCCACTTAGCGTCGAGTCGTACCTTCGTAGAATCATAAACGAAAATCAGAAAAGAGAAAACAAATAAAAAATGGGAATTATTATAAAAAGGAGCAGCAAAAACTACTGATTAGAAAAATTCAGGTCCTAAATATGATATAGTAAACTAGAATGAAAATCGGATACTGTTTGAGATCCAAGTATTACTAATTACTTTTGTTTAGAGGTATCACACAGTGGAGTGCATCATAGGAAAATATTCACATGGTTAGTCACTAAAGCTATTGATATATTAAAACTGAAAACAATTGCCTACTAGCAACAGCAACACAATTACGATACACAAAGGAATTATATACACTATCGTAATACGATTCTTATAAAACAAAAATATTGTCTTATTTTCTATAGAATAGATTACTTAAGGTATAGAAACCGACTCATTGTTATAAAAATGACTGTTAAATATGCACTGAATAGTAGAATGGCTAGACCAACAAAAATTTCACCATAGTTTTTCATACCACAATACAGCAACTGTATAAGGGATTATTTGTTATCCACTAAAACAGAGAATTTACCGTTGCCCATAGTTGAGCTAAAGAAGCTAATTGTGCCGGAAAAGGTGACATACTGGGAAAAGATAATTTCCTTTCCTACCCATCCCCTCTCCAGTCCACTACTTTTCCAATAAGACAAAGATAGAGTTCTCTTCTATCTTTTTGATCTCTGCCTACACATTACGTTAATAGCGCAAGAGTTTACGGCTATGAAGTAATAAAACATTCGTCACAGTGACACTAGATTACGCAAGTCGCAGAACAAACGTGCTGAAATGATGTCACACGGAGCAAGGTACGCGTAGTTTTTAGCTCAGTTAGTTAAGGCCGACTGTGGAGGCGTCTACTTCATATAAAGTTCTAATTTCTTTTCAACAATTCACGACTCCAATTTATTAATTTAGGAGAATCATAATCTCATAGTTGCACAAGATCTTGAAATTTCATCGAGAGACAACGATCTGTTATGTATAATTGTTTCGGAAAAGTCGCGTTAAAGAATAGAATCAGGATATCGTTGAGTTTACAATATTCTAATATGTAATATATGTATCTTTCTTAAGGCCTTAACCCCTTGTTATGATGTAGAAACTCCTTGGTATGATGTAGAAAATTTATTTTATATATATATATCTATTTAATATATATAAAGTCCCATAGATACAACAATAAGTCGTGCTCAGCCTATTTGTCGATCCAACGCGTGCGCAGAAAGGATATGACGATGACTACTGTATCGTATAGTTCCGTCAAACATTAATGACATTTTAATTGGTTATAGAATGTTAAACTGCTTGGACTGCGTCCTTTCGTATAGGAAATTCGTTGGAGCAAGAAATAGCAACATACTGGGTAAAAATAATGAAATAAATCATTTTCTAGCCCATATTTAGAAGCTTTTAATTTCTTATTATTAATATAATAAGAAATTAAAATACAGATTATTAACCGAAAACAAAATTACAATTTCAGACAGAGGATAGAATTTATAGGTAGAGATCTGCCTGTGTGAAGGAAAGGTTTTATTGTAGCACATTGAATTTGAATTTATGAAAAGAAGCCATATCTGGAAAAGCCATCAAAACCGATGACATCACTGTCAGACGTTAACTACACACACACACGCACTTAAGTGAATACATGTTAAACATTCAATTGTTTATCGATACCAAAGATAAAGATGACTAACTGCAAATTTTTCATCTTTTTGACAATGCACTCAAAAATCGTCTTTACGAACATTTTGCTACTAACTTACATAGAGGAGAAGACACCTGGCGGTTACATCGAGCAGGCTCGCTAACGTCAACATGACATAGAGGCGAGGTCGCTGTGCACTACATTCGATACGAGTGCCGTCCACCGGCGACACACGTGCACTGGCCAACACTTGCCGATTTTAACTACATATTATATTACATAACTACAATAAGTATCGAAATTAATACATAGATTCTATTATTAACTAAATTGTAAACTCAAACGACACTGCAAGGTTAGTACAATTTAGGCGAACGGTCGAACAGTCACCGGAGCTGTGACTAAAACTTTTAGCAAAGTAACGGCTGAAAAAATAGAGCCGTCACGAAGAAAATCGTAAATGAAGTAATACTTATGTAAACTTCATACGGCACATGTGTACGGCCTTAAACTAACAACGTTAGAACTAACGAACAAAGTCAACAATCACACGACAAGAGTTTGGTATTTGTGTTATGGCCTCACAATTTTCACGAAGGCTACGAATTTTTGATAAGATCTTGATAAGAAATCTGTAGCAAATCAAAATAAATTATTTATATCTAAAACAATGCAGTACTAGATAATTCTAATGTTAACAACAAAGAAAAACTTATCGATAAGAAATACAATAAAAGAAATATACAATATACATAGACAAAGCTTGAAAAAAAGTTCTACATGGATCCAATTAGATTCATTAAAGTAGGAAGCAGCGATCAGCGAGAGACTGCGTCCTCAAAACGTCTTATATTATTATAGCCGTATAAAGAAACTTAATCACGTATGAGTTCTCGATACGTACATGGTTGTGCTGGTCTCCGAGAATCCCGACTATCGACGGATTGATTTCGCTCTGAGAATCTTTGCGCGCATCCGTCACGCTTTGCTCCATATAATTGACCAAGACATCCAATGGAGCGCAGTGGCCATTTTCTATATTATCAACAGCGTCCCCGTTGCCTTCGTTACCATTCGTCACAGGTTGATTTTCATTATTGGAATCATTAACGTCGCCGATATCAACGCTGGGATTTACAGTATCATTAACCGGTAGTTGACTTATTTTGGTAACATTAGATCGTTCGATAACAGCCTCTTCACCTGAATCGTCGAAATCGCCATCAGTGAAGGCCTCACCACTCTCCTCGTCACTATTATCCGGTGTTAGTTCCGATTTATGACCCATTGCTAAACTGATTCGTCAGATATTCACTCATATAACTGTTTAACACAACAAACTTGTCTAAAGAATTTATCAATGCAATAGCACTCGAGTAGAAAGGAAGGACGTAATTTTTGCACTGCACTCCGTATAGCCCGCGATAAAATGCCACACTCTGTTTATCTTATCGATAATTTCCACCGTCAGTCGCCACGAGTGGACCGCGCGTTCCTCTGAAGACAATTGACGCTGACAATGGGATAGTATGATCGCATCAACATAATGTTTATTTGTAAACACGGTTGGTATGTTTACAATGGGGGATGTTTATCGCGCGTCTCGCTACAAACATGTGGGGAAGGTAGCGGCGCGGCGCGGGCGTCGACGACGCTGTCGCGGACAGACTGTCAGTTCGCACGATCGTCGCTTGCGGCTTGCGCTATCGTTGTCGTAATCGCGCACCACCGTTACGCACGTACTGTGCACTGCGCACTGCGCGCACGCGGAAGCGGATAGCAGTAATCATCTAGAAAAATAGCAAGTGCTTGTTAGCTTTTTATATAACACGGGCGGTGACTTTCAACTCAACGACCCTGCTCATTAGAAATACTTGTTTACTAAGAAGGCAAAAATAATTTTAAATACGAATAAATTTTAGGAAATATGATGAGGAGACATTCTTACCAAACGAATTAGTTAGTTAAAGAAAGTTTGAATGAAAGAAACTCAAACGTTTACGTCTACAGTTATAGCATTAAAGTAAATTACAGCGAGCTGACGGCGGCGGCGCGACATGTCCAAGCGCTGTCCGCTTCCGCTCCTGCGCGAAGGTGAATGATTAATCGCTCTTTGTTTTACTGAGAACCGACTAGGATTACCAACACACTTAAATTTTTACGGACACTAAGATTTAGAATAACTCAACTGGTCATTGCAACATTAGAAAAGCCAGGTCCCAATGTAAAATATACAAAATCATGCTTTAATAGATCATCTTTCTCTAATTTTGTAAGTGGACAAGAGACTAAGGACAGATATGTTGACGCTAATGAAAATATTAAATATCAAGTTGAGAATCATGTTTCATATTATATTAATAATCAATCATACAATAAATAATAGCCATTTGTAATCATTACTTGATTTGAAATTCGATATGGCGTTGTCATATTACAATGCGGTCTTCACTGATCGAGAATAGCGGACAAGGTTGTAGGTTCTTTTTATTAATATCTAGTTTATATGTCACATTTGTATAATTAAATCGGATCATGTTTAAAAGAACGATAAATCTTTAGCTGATACATATTTTAAGGGACTAAAAGTAGACTTTGATTTGTCCTTAGTTATAATGAACACAACGTCTGATACAGTGGCCTAAACAATGTTTTATACCATTTCCAAATTTTACATTCCTAACCATGTAAGTTCCATACTTGATAAATAATTTATCGATACCTTGAAACTAAACATTAAACAAAAAACAAAGATACAAAAATAAGTCGTTGTCCTGCAAAACTACATGGAATGGTCGCCGTAGTCGATCCTTTTGCGTAAAGGAAACGTCCCCTGCGCGGCAGATTTACTGTTCATGGTGTCGATGGTAAGGACGTATGTTTCCGATCGTATATCAGCCGCCGACAGCATATTGTGCTCTAAGATTAACTCAACCGCATTTCCAGCTGACATAAACTATTGTTAGTTATTACGCTGCCGATATAGCATTTATAAAAGTTTAAAAATGGTTCAATACCAAATAAACTTTGAATATTAAGAATAAAAAAATGTAGAATTTTTACTTATGGATGAATCTTATAGTAGCTAAGTACTTTAGCTTTAAAAAGGGGTCTTGACAGACAGACGGACGGACAACAAAGTGATCCTATAAGGGTTCCGTTTTTTTCCTATGAGGTACAGAACCCTAAAAATTACAAATCGTTTGCTAAAATTTGCCTTTAAATTCACAATTGTTGCTCAAACTGGCAATCCATTGTACAACTTTCATACAATTCGCAAATAGCCATGAAATTACAATTGCCACATAACCTAACTTCACATCATTGTGTGGATACGTCACATGAACAGTTCAACAAACTATTTCAAAGATTATAAAGAATATTATTCGTTACACACTCATAAATGAAAATACAGAAAATCTGTATGTTTTATTGTTATTTTAATGAGTTCTTGTGTGAATCTACTTATTTACTACTTCTACATTTGCCGTTATGCTTATCTTAATTATTCATTAATTTTAGAACTTGACGATAAAAGTTAGTTTATTATTTTAATTTCATGTACGAATAATATATGATTTTTCTGAATGTAATCTTAATTTAAGGTAAAAATATTGTTTATTCTATATATCTTTTTTATGTTTCCGCTCTTCGATGCACTGTAACATAAGTATTAAGGTGTTAGTTACGCGAAATGTTAAAACTGCCAATCGAGAGCTGTAATGTTTTTATTGCAAAATACAAATATTAATGAATAATTTAATTTCAAAGAGTTATTCGCACGACTTGCAGACCAGTTCAGATTTCATTTCCGTTGATTTTAACTATCACAGTTTAACAAATCCATATTAAGACGTCCTAGAATCTAGTCTAGATGAGAATTAGCAAAATCCTTCGCAACACTAGGTTATGACATTTACAATTTATAATAGGACTTAATTTTTACCTTGACCTTTAATTTAAGCGACGATCCTATGAGACGGAAGATACCAAAATGCATTCGTCATATTTAAGTGGCGATTCCTACAGTTCGTTCTGAACACAGAGGATTTCTTTCCAACGTAAAGCTGGAATCCAAGGCACTGAGATATTTTCTCTTTTACACAGGTTTCTTTTATCCCCGAGTTTCTCGTTTATGGAGGTAATCCTTCGGACCAGATAATAACTCTCGGTTTTTCAAGTTCGACTGTTTGTACATAAAACAATTGAATCATGACGTACATGACAAAGCGAGATGTTGAGAAATAAGTTTGATGGATGCTAAAGGGGAAAAACATATGCTTCCAACACTAATTGTTCCCTATATTGATAGCCAATGCAACTTTATTATCAACATGAATTTCAAACAAACATATTCACAATTATATTAATTATTATAAGACATTTGCTTAAACGACAATGTTCTTGATTATATTTTGGCAATTTGTAAACTGGCAGTCAAGTTAAACATATATATAAGGCTTATTTGTTTAATAACATTTTTATATCTCTATAAAACGAGGTCTATTTGTGGTAAATACAAAATGTTCGACATTGAACTAATCGCGGGTATAGTAGTGACGTAATGCACCAACGGAACTGATAGTGATATGTTCAAATTGGGTAACACAAGTATTAACTTAATAACATTGACGCAAACAATTTAAATAAATACCATAGCGGAAGGAAACACAATACTTGACATAAATATTTAAAAATACTTCAAGAAACATATCGACTGCAAAAAGAATGAATAACCGGGGGTTTTCACTGCCGAAACTCTGGTACAAAAACATAGTCATCCCTCTCATCAACTCTTGAAACACGATTAGCTTTTCAAAAACTTTGCTAAAGCCATTGAATACCGAAAGGAATTGCTATCCCATTTCCACTAATTGTAATCTTTATAGTGTTTGTACAATGTGGGACATCAGTCACAGCATCTCATCTCCCAGTACTGTATATCATTGCTCTCGGCTGCGCAGGCGCATACGGTATTCCAACAAAGGTGCAGGATTGTCACGGTCAACGGAACGCGTACAATGCGGGCACAGGCATAACTGTACGTAGGCAGTTTTAAATACACAACCGTTGTCACAATTAGCCCACAACGAATCGCTAAAATAGGGTAAATGAAACTTAATTGTTAACGACTGGACGTCTAACTCAACTCACCATTAGTATCATGCTAGTGGTTACGGAGTAAATAAAATTAAACGTAAACAAGGTTTATTTCTGCTATTATTAGGGAACAAAGAATTGTAACAAATCAAGATACGTTCCTTAACCTTGCAATGCGGTAGTTATTATTAACACGAAACAATATTGAGTCATTATTTTAAACTGTGGTTATTATTTCATGTACCGACAGAAGTTTTTAAGCTGTGGTTACCAATGTTAAACGAAGGTTACAATAAAGTTAGTGGTAAATTTAATTTATATAATGTTTATAAATTAAATTTTCCATTTACTCCCTCTTCCTCCCTTCATAAATGTAAAATTAATGTAGTCACCTTGTAATGCAATGTTAGATATGCTGCTTTGGTGCCTCTGCGTCCATAACTATTGAGAACTTTGTATAGATTGAAGAGCACCAAATCATTCTAAATCACAACCAAGTAATCACATAGGCACGGGAAGGATATAATTGTCTAAAAGCGCGTAAAAGTCAGAAGCCGGTAAGTAGAAGTCGATCGCGGACGATTAACTGTTTAACATCGAACGGTACTGAGATGCGCACGCGACTCGTACGTAAATATCGTGACATTTGCGCCGCGGTTACCGCCAGGGGCTCCCGTACGAATGGGCTCCTCGGGTGACCACACACACAAATAAATCATTTCATCATCAACCTGATCTTATCCCTACGGAGGGTCGGCACAGTATGTACTTATCGTTCATAAATCTCTATCAGCCGTCATATCTGAATTCACATAAATAAATCATTTGATATCATAAAATATTTTGAGGTTTCAAAACAACTAAAGACGTTTATTACAAGGGTTATTTGGACGGATTTAAAAATATGCAAAGCTTTGGCACGCATTAAAATGTCAAACAATTCGACATAAACTAAATCCAAAGTTACGTAAATGTTACAAAAACAAAAACATATAGTTTCAAAATGTACGAAAATATTTCAATAATTATTTATTCTGAAAGTTGCACTGCATCAAAACTAATCAAAATAGTTTCACGTGTAGGAATGCATTAGAACGTTAATTAAATCTTTTAAAAGAGGTTTTCTAACGAAACCCATAAATGTGGTAACTCTACTCTGTTGGATATCTCACGCTTTCGTAATTGCAGAGGTGAACGTACCGCGTATGAACTAGATTCGCTTGGCAGCCGTCATAACATACGTAACAATTATCTTACATCTAATTATACATAATTCAAAACATTAATAAATACAATTAACAATCCGTAGATAGTCTGCGAAATAGAAAAAAATATGTCATATTTAACTTAATTTTTTTTAATGACTAGTCGTCAATATATTTAGGAAGCTAAAGCATCTACAACATGGAGAATGCAAGAATTAACAGATTTACTTCTTTTGTTGTCAGTCTCTATTTGATTGTACGCATCTGTCCCTTTCACACTTGTTACACTGTCTATTAGGGATTACGAAACGACAATATCAGTAATGCATGTTTCACAAAAATGGCATAACCCCTAAAACAACTCAATTTATGTGTCGATAAAATATTATACACATTTTACGTTTGAATC